GTTTTCCCATTCAGTCAGAACTGCAAGAACTGGTTGGATGAGAAGCGAAATGTCTTCCTCCAGGGGAAAAAACAAAACAAAAAACAAAGTCCAGATGCCTTCTGAAAAAACACCTTTAAGACAACCACGAACAGGATGGCTGAGAATCTCCACAGACATCGAAAAATAAAAATGATTAATGTTGTTCAGGTCTCAATCAGTGTATTGGTTTCATTTATTTTAATGTTTAAGTTGTATCAAGAAGCCAGCAAAATGCAACAATAACTCAAGAAAAGTTGTGGACTTAATGACAAAGAGGATGGTACCGCAGGTGACTCCGACTATGTCAGGTGCCCAGATCTTGGGACGTAGAAATTGAGGACTTGAGGACGTAAGAGTTAAGCCAGCACCCGAAGCGGACACAGCCGCTGACTGAGCAGTTGGGTCGTTTGGCCCGAGTCTCCCCCGCATTTTCAGTCCATTTCACAACCAGCGCGCCATTAGCGAAAGCGACTACCGCGCAAGCGCACTGCGAACTTCTCAAAAGAATTCCTCCGAATGAATCTACGGTGGGGAAAACTTTGCAGGTAATTTCTCCGCTCTTTCAAGCGTGGACAAAGTCCCGATTCCCGTCAACAATGGACCGTAGAGGGGCGGGAAACTATTGCTAATTTACAGGATCCAATCTGGTTCGGTCACCGGGATCAGAGCTTTAGTCTTCCGAGCCTTCGGACCCTTGCTGGGGCCCATCCTCAGGGAACTTCTCTCTAGCAAAATGTGTCTAGCAAAATGTATTGCTAATTTATTACGATTAGAATTAGAAATTTAGAAGACACTTCTTTCAGAAGTTGCCACAATTTTTTTAAAAAAAAACCCAGCATACTTGTAGCATTATATACACACAAACACACACACATACACATTAATGCAATTAGTCGTTTTTCAAATATTCATTCCTGCATGAAAACAGGGAATAACCCTTCTTTAAAATAATACCCACTCCGCACATTTTTCCCCTTTAGAATGGTTACATTTTTTAAGAAATAATTTTATGCAGATAGAAATAATTTGCTTGCTCAGCTCACTGACAGAGCAATCGACCAAGATTAAACTGATCGCTGTTGAGATTTAGGCAGGGATTTCAACGTAGGTTTCTTGGAGGGAACCCCCCTCCAAGGCGAAGCCTTGAGAAGCAAAATGGGCGAGGCGGGAGGAAATCGGCTCCCCTCGCGAACTTCTTTCACGAAGCGGGCCAAGGCCTCCCCGGGCGAATCGCCGGGGTCCAGCTGGGCCTAAGGAGGAGGCGCTTTCGTGTTTCCTTGGGTCTGTTGGGGACCCGAGCGCTGGAGACCCGGGGGCTGCGGGGGTCTCAGCTGGGCCCACGGGCTCATGGAGCTAAAGGAGGCCGTGAGAGGGGCTCCTTCCTCGGAGAAGGGGCTTCCTATTCCGGTGGCTCTCTCCCATTCCCATCCCCCTCGTTCCGAAGGGCTCCGGCTCCATCCATTACCTTAATCCCTTGTCTAAACAGTGCGCAGGGCGGCTGCGACAACAAGGCAGCGCTAAAGCCCGAGAGGGCGGATGGGCAACAAAAGCGGCTAATGGGCCCTGCGAGACAATAACCATTAGCAGCAGGAGCAGGAGCAGCACGTTCCCCCTCCGGAGCGCAGGGAAGTTAGAAAAGCCGGGATGAGGGAATGGGCGAGCAGGCACGCTCGGAGAGAGACAGGGCTTCAGCCGGACGCCCGCTGTAGCGTTGAAAGCTTTGGGTCTCCGTCTCCAGAGCTTCTGTCTTTCTGCGGGCTTGGAAGCGGGCCCTTTCGGGTGTATTTGAGAGCCCTTCCGATCAAGGCGAAGAAGGGTTTTGTCCCCCGCTAGGCCGGGCGGCTAAACGGGCTTCTTTTTTCACTTCGATATTAAAAGATGCTTCAGTATCTTTCCTCCTATCCAGAAAGTGCGCTTGTAATGTTCCTCTGGCTTCCCAAAATGGTTGATACCTACCAAATATGTCCGTCCTCCCCCCCCCTCTTTTTTTTAAAAAAATTCTGCCTTCGTAAGCGAACCTTTCTGGAAGTAAAGTACGAGGATCTCCATTCTGCACCTAGGTCAACCTTCCTTTGTTTCAAACTTTCTTCCGATAAAGATGGTCCCGATCAAGTTGGGAGGTTCTTGGGTTGGCCATTAAGGCGCAGCTTGGGCGGAAAGATTTCCATCCCAGTTGAACAATAATTGCGATGATAAACAGCAAACTGTTTTTCAAAGCGTGCAATCCTAAATGAGGATAGGATTGCAAGCAGTGTTTAATACATTTCAAACGCTGTTTTCTTGCATTTCTTACTAAAAGACCAAGGTCAATAACCCCATTTTGCAGCCCTGAAGTTGAAGATGGAAGAAAAGAGGCTTACCAAGGATAACTTCCTCCGTCCAGGTGAGATTTACAACAGTTTTCTGGCAATTTAAAGATCAGAAATACTAGAAAGCTCAGTTTTTCAGTTTCTGGAGAGGGAGAAAACTCTTCATATACCTCGGAGGTATTTGGACCTTGTCTTAGTTTATTTGAAATAACAAAAGTCTAAGACAAGCCAGCCAGAGAAAAACCTTGGAAGAGGTGATGAAGGAAGGAAGGAAGGAAGGAAGGAAGGAAGGAAGGAAGGAAGGAAGGAAGGAAGGAAGGAAGGAAGGAAGGAAGGAAGGAGTTTCTGTTTGAAAGATTGTCTTCTGCTGGAGCTGGAAGCACCTTCGCAGTTCCTCCATTGCTCGACAATGATTTTGGAGAGAAGGGGAATTAATAGTTTTCGTCCAGAGTCTATTCAACTGGAGGAGCGGGGAAAGTGAAGGATCGGACCTCGCGTAGCCCGCCTTTCGTGCAGTTCCCTCAGGAATCTCTTTTAAATCTCCTTGCACCTCAGAAATACACGGCTCGATGCAATAATATGCGGGCTAGATCCCACAACTGGCTCCGCTTGTTGACCGTTCTAGCCTTTCCTTTCTAGAAACGCTGTCATGTTTTGGTTTCGGGACGGTGAACGCGGTCAGGCACAGGGCGGCGTATCCAGCGGCCGATTGGTGAAACCTCTAATCCAAAAGATTAGAGGTTGTGGCGTCTCCAGAGAATTGCATTTCGTGGCGGCCCAGCGAAAAATCCCAACCTTCGTGTTTTGTAGCTTTCAGGAGTAGCTCCGCTCTCGGGGAATCGTCTACTTCTCCTGAGGGTGGAATGTTTCCGTAGAACTACAAATGAGACAACCGAGAAGCTGCGACTTCAAAAACGGGCCTAAAGTTACCGACAGAGGCAGGGTCCTCTTAGCGACTGCTGCGCTTCCTACACGGCGACCAGACCTTCCTAAACCTGCTGGCTTCGACCTTGTACACAGCTACGCCATCGCTCCACTGCCAGATCAGCTGCTGGGCCCCGAGGTGATCGTGCCTTTTTACAGGTTGCTGGTGCTGAGTCTTTTTCTGCTCGTCTTAAATTGTTGAGGTGCTTCCTCATCTCGATGGGCTGCTCAGTTTGTATGTGTGTGTGTGTGTGTGTGTGTGTGTGTGTGAGAGAGAGAGAGAGAGAGAGAGAGAGACAGACAGACAGACAGACAGACATAGACAGAGATGCACGTACTACTACCGTTTTCTTCCGTTCGTTTAAAAACAAATTAAAACCTCGCACAATATGCTTCCGTGTTCCTAAACTGGCACCTACTCACTAAGATAGCGACAAAAAGAACTTCATTCCAAAGCGGCAGAAAGCTTTTTTATTTTTTCCTCAGCAAGCTAATTTCTCCGTAAATCTTTTTAAATAGCCTTTGGTCTCTCAACTGTAACAGATTTTCAGCCAGATCCCAGACATGTTTACTGAAAAGGAAATCGCCCTGTTGATTGCAGCACTTTAGCTGTGCTTCAGATTGCTCCCCGAAGCAAAGTCGGCAGGAAATACTTCTCTCCAAAGTTGGTCTCTTGCAGATGGGACAAACTCCCTCCAAAAATGCGCAAAGGCTCTGGGGTTCGGGAGCAAATCGCCAGGCCTTATATCCGCCTCCGGATCAAATGTTTTAGAGGAGCAAAAATATTTACAAGTAGGCCTCGCCGGGCTTTAATGGAGACAGATAAGTGCACGGTATTGAGGGATCTCCATCAGGATCTCAATGACTTTCCCAGTCACTCCGATACGGGAGTATTTCTATTCCCGATCGCAAAGAGAAAGCAACAAGCGGTGTAAGAATCCGCAATGGGTGTCCGGGACGTTTGCAGCCTAAGCCTAGAGAGTTTGCATGAAATGGTTTCGTGGCCAGGCCGTGGGGACCCGCTTTTGTTTTTCCTCTGGAGCCCGTGTTGAACCTCCCATGCCTCTTTGCTCCCCTTGCTTATTTTGAACCTCCCTAGATTAGCAGAAGAGTCTTCTGCTGTCCATTTGCTCAGTGAAATTATCAACATTACTGTTGAGAAAGTGAAAATGCTGCCAAACGTCATCTTTATATTGCACAGGGTCCTAAGAGGGTGCTATAACCTGCGCGCAGAAGAATCCTTGCAAACATCAGTGATGAGCAGTTACATCCATTTCCTATCGAAAGGAAATCACCTACTCCTTCGGGGACGGGGAACAGACCCTTCCTCATCCTGTTCCCTACTGAGGGCCCTGCTACCTAATTATAAAGGTCATTATCTGTACCTCTGGTTTAAAATCTCAGCACACTTAATTTCAAGGGGAAATCAAATCTATTAAACTCTGTAGATCCATTTTAAGTAATGGCCACTGCAAAATGAAGTGCAAAATGAAGTGCAGGAAGTCAACCTCCTACAAGTTGGGTAGTCTCTTTGTATAACCCTGTTTCAACGTTTATTTGCAGAGAGCTGATACGGGAACCTTGTGGATTTTTATTTTTGGTTGGGATTCTCTAGCTTGCCCCACCCCAGGGAAAGGAAGGGAAGGTGAAAGTAAGAAGAAAGAAGAAGGAAGAAAGAGAAAGGAGAGAGAGAGAGAGAAAGAAAGAACGAGAGAAAGAAAGAAAGAAAGAAAGAAAGAGAGAGAGAGAAAGAAAGAGAGAGAAAGAAAGAAAGAAAGAAAGAAAGAAAGAAAGAAAGAAAGAAAGAAAGAAAGAAAGAAAGAGAAAGAAAGAAAAGAAAGTAAGTCTTGGCAGCGGAAAAAGGGGCCAGCTGGTCGAGCTGGGAGGGGGGAGTTAGGAAACAGAGCCTGGGAAGAATTTTCGCTACCCAGCACCCACCGGACCAGGCTGTAGAGCCTCCCATTCCTTCCCTTCCCTCTGCTCCTGAATTCTGCAATAATTCCCAGGAGAGAACAGCAGAGCCAACAAGAGGGAAATTAAGAAACTTCGCACGAGTTTAATCCATTTTATCCATCGGTAGTGACATCATTGAATAGCCACACTAAATCATTCTAATAAGTTAACCTGAAAATGAGTAATGAAAATGAGTAAGGGGACTTTCAGAACTGACCCCGTACTTTGGGTACCTTCCTCCCATCTCTCTCAGACTTCCCCTTCCTCAGTCATCTGTGGGAAAGGAAAGGAAAGGAAAGGAAAGGAAAGGAAAGGAAAGGAAAATTTGGAGCTTTTTATTCAGATTGCATACACAACAGGATAAATTCTGATCATCACAGCTAATTGGGGAACACAAGATTACAGCAGCTATAAGGACTTATTTTTTTTTCCTAGACAGATTTTATAAATAATACGATTATTATTAGGAATAATAAAAATATAGCACTCCTGTTCCATAATAGACCAGACAACTAGAGTAGAAAACTCATAGCTTTTGCCAATCCCTTTTAGTCTTATTCACATACCCGCAGACACACTGCTTCTGAACCAGGAGATGCATTTGATCATGGCGAAAAGCCACCTCTGCAATGACGTTCTGATCTTTTTCTTAAAAAAACGTCCAGCGAGGCAATCCACAACTTTTAACAGCCCTGCATACATTGATGGCGGTGCCAGCTATCCTAACCGTCCTTGTGATGACGACCATTGGGTGCCATTGTTCTCTCGAGTGCCATTGCTTTAAAACGACGGGGAAGAAGAGCCCTGTCACAGGTGACCAGAAGCGGATGGCCGCCGTCCTCCTTCCTTTGGGAAGCTTCCTTTCCTCTTCCCGGAATAAGACTTAACGAGGCTCTGGCGGTTCAGGGGCCCGGGTTGCCCATCCTTCGCCCGCCTCCGCAGCCGTCCCATCACCCTCCAAGGCAGCTCCCGCTTACCCAGCCGGGGAGGGGGGGGAGGGCGCTGGCGGCGCCCCACCCGGCCCTTTTCTTCCGAGGGTCCCTCCGAGTCTTCTCGGAAAAGCCAAGCCAGGCGACTCCGAGCAAATGCCCGAGGGCCGAGCGGGACATCCCCGCACTCGGGCCCCGGGGGCGGGCAGGGCGGTGAAACGGCGCGGCCGGGCCAGGTGGAGTCAGCGGGACTTCTTGGTTTCGGCCGGCTCTGCCCGATCCCCGCGAACCCTGCCCGGGCGGCGGTCTTGGTGGTGCCAGGCTCCCCGCGCCCGGGCACGAGGCTCCGGGGCCCCCTCGGTCTCCAGGGGTCACCTCTGACCCGAAGCCTCGGCGGTCCGGCTGGCCCGGCTTTTCCCCGCGGCCGGTTCACACCTTCGGGCAGGTTTCCTCGGAGGGCCGCTCCCGCTCCCCGCCTTCCAATGGGGGCCCGGCCCAGCCCGGCCCCTCCTCGCCGTGACGCGCCCCGCTCGGCCGAAGAGGCGGCTCCGAGTCCAGAGCGGGCTGCTGGTCCTCGCCGAGGCGGGGACTGGCAGAGGCGGCGCCGCGTTCGCATGGACGCCACTTCGCCTGGCTTCGCTCCCGGGCGCGGCCCTTCTGCCCCAGCCGGGCTGGCCGTCTCCCTCTCTCCCGCCTCCCTGCCCAGGATGCTCCCCAGCCCCGCCACCTCCACCCCCTTCTCCGTCAAGGACATCCTGAAACTGGAGCAGCAGCAGCAGCAGCAGCAACGCCTCGGGGCCCCCCTGGAAGCGCCTTTCGCCCCCGCCGCCGCCGCCGCCGCCGTTGCCTCCTGCCTGCTGAGCTGCCGCTTCTCCGACCGAGAGGAGGACGACGAGAGCGAGGAGCAGCGGCTCTTCTTGTCCCCCATGGCCTCGACCAAGAGCCGAGCGGACGGGGGCTTCTCCCCCGGCGGCTACGTGCAGGCGGTGCTGCGGGGCACCTGCGAGCCCAAAGGCCCGGCAGAGGAGGCAGAGCCGGCGCAGGACTCGGGAACCGGTGAGTCCGGGAGGAAGGTGGGCAGAGCGCTGGGGGTCCCGGCCCTGGGAGGCTGCGGGGCCGGTAGTAGAGCCCGCCCAACCCCGCGGACGGCTCGAGATCTCCTCGAGTGGCCCGGAGCCCGTGGGGTCCGGGTTGCCCTGCCCTCCCCTGGAGCCTCCCAACGATTCCTTTGTCAGCCGGAGCAGATGGGGATGCTGAGCGCGGAACGTCTTCCCGGCACGCATTTTCCCAGATGTTGCTTCTCGCTCTGCAAGTTCGCTTCGGGCCGTTCTAAACCTCTTTCCGGGGCTTCTTCGGGTGGTCTCTGCTTTAAGCACCCCCATCTTGCCCGATCTGGTTGGGGACGCGATGGAAGCTGCTTTGAGCAAATTGTCTTGTGGGTCTCTGGGAAAAGGCTGGCGGCTGTGGAAGCACTCGGGTTATGATAGCTATTGTCGAAATATTGAGACCCCATGTATCGGGCTGTGTCCCTAAAAGGGAGGGGGTTGATTTTTAATTATGAAATAAGATTGGTTTACTTTTGTGCGGGGGGGGGTTAGCTTTGTGCAGGGCATGCAACCCTGTACCCGCCATCTGGAGAGTCAGCCCTGTTAAAGTCACTTGCCAGAAAACTGGCTGTAAGCTAAGCAAAAAAGCAATTTCTACTCTCCCCCAGGCCCACCCAGCCCCTCTCAAAGAGTGAGGAGATAAATCACGGAGCCCAGGCCAGGCCTTTCGTAGGCTGGAGACCGGAGGTCGCATTCAGAGGCAGCTTTAAGCTCTCCTAGGCCCTCACGGAAAAGCACCCAAAGGGGGGGAGAATCTGGCTACCAGACTTTGCTCAGGAGTGTGGAAAGCAGTTTGCTCCAGATCTGTTTAGAAGGGGCCTGCCAGGCCTAGACTCTGCGATGGGGAAAAGCGAAGAGCACTTTTGGATTTGCAGGAGGGGAGATATACTGAAACTGTCCTTCTCTTATCTAGTGGGCAAATGTCCTTCTTCCAGCTCCCACTTCTTTCCAGCGACCGGTCCCCTTCAACAAGGAGAAAAAAATGATTGATTTTTGCTCAGGGCAAGGAAAATGGCAGGCAACTCTGGGCCTCCAAGGGCTGCTCTCTCATTTCCAAGTCCTGAGGCTAGAGCTGTGTGCAGCTGGAGACCCAACACGTACATTGCTAACCTGGTTGGGTTCCTGGTTGGTCTGGTCGTGTTGCACTTGTTGCATCAAGTCAAAATGCTGTTCTGCTCCATTTTTATTTTTGCCTGATTTAAAAAAAAAAAAAAAAAGTCCAGAGGTTCTTTTGAGCCTCTTGTGGAATCTTCAGTCTGTAATCATCCTGTAAAACAGAGATTAACCCAGAAGATGGTTTGTTTCAGATTGGTACATTGTGTGGATTCCATCACAGTGGCTTGTAGGTGGGTGGAAAGCATGATCTCAATCAGATACGAATTCTTCGTGAGATTTATACTAAACTTTGTGCAGCAAATCATTATAGGAAACCCAAGGATTTTCTGTGTTGTGGCCTGACTTTTCTTTGGTGGCATCAAGAGGGACTTTGGGACAAATCCAGGCCCCACTTAGTAGAAGACCTAGGAGGCTTCCCAAGGAGGGGGATTCCCTCCATGCTCATTCATCCCAGGGAACAGTTGATGACCCCATTCCCACGACCTGCATCATGTTGGCAGAGATTGCAGACACTCGTGCCCAGAACCTGGAAAGGGCACCAAGTGATGCAGGTGTGTAGAAGTCTGAAAAGGGCCTCCTGCTATAGGCTAGGTGTATCTCCAGGCGTTGGCGGCACCGAAACCAGCGGCTTAGGGGCAACAACCTCGCGCAGGGGGGGGGCTGCCTCGCCCTTAATCCCCCGGGGCTTCTTGCTCGATTACTCCTCTCCGCTTTCGCTCTTTTTGCAGGCCAGGAGCCCGCGGAGGCGGCGTCGGAGCGTCCCAAGGCGCGCAGCCGGAGGAAGCCGCGGGTGCTCTTCTCGCAGGCGCAGGTCTTCGAGCTGGAGAGGCGCTTCCAGCAGCAGCGCTACCTTTCTGCCCCCGAGCGGGAGCTCTTGGCCAGCAACCTCAAGCTCACCTCCACTCAGGTCAAGATCTGGTTCCAGAACCGGCGCTACAAGTGCAAGCGGCAGCGGCAGGACAAGGCCCTGGAACTCGGCGGCCCGGCGGCGGGGGCGGCCCCGCAGCCTCCCGCGGGCCCGCCGCCGCCCCCGCCGCCACGCAGAGTGGCCGTGCCGGTGCTGGTGAGGGACGGCAAGCCCTGCCTGGGCGGCTCGCAGGCCTACAGCGCGCCTTACAACGCTCCCGCTGCCTCCTACACGTACAACGGCTTCCCTAATTACGCCTACGGCGCTTCCCCCGGCGCAGCCTACGGCGCCGGCTACAGCTGCAGCTACCCCGCGGGGAACGGCGTGGCCCCCTCGGTGCAGCCGTCGCCGGGGCCCTACGTGAACATGGGCGGCTTCCCCGGCGGAGCGCAGCCCCTGCACCAGGGGGCCGCCGGCTCTTCCTGCACTCAGGGCATCCGGGCCTGGTAGGCGGCGCCGCTCCTGGAATAGCGCGGGGCCAGAGGGCCGCTGATCCTCCGCAGCCGCTCGGCGGCCGGGCCGGGATCCTTTCTGGGGAGAAAGGGAGCGACGCCCGGAGAAGCGGCCTCGGGCGAAGAGGGGAAGGGACCTTTGTCTGTGGCTGGTCTCCAGCGCTTCGGCCGCTCTCGGAGCTCACCTGGATCGGCGCGATCGACAAGAACAGACCCTCAGTGTTTCTCAACCTTGACCATTTTAAGGCACGTGGACTTCAACTCCCAGAATTCCACAGCCAGCGTTGCTGGCTGTGGAATTCTGGGAGTTGAAGTCCACGTGCCTTAAAATGGTCAAGGTTGAGAAACACTGCAGTCTATTTGGACTCCCCCAGGCAGAGCCCCCGCCGGCCTCCACGAAGGCCCCGAAGCTTTCCGACGGGGCAGGGGCACCCGGGGAGTCTCCGCGCTACGCGCCTGGACTGCAGTGGGGAAACCGAGGACGGGCGTTGCCGAAAGCCGCTTCGCTTATACAAAGCAAAGGCCGCCTCCTTCGAGTCCCCTCCTGCTACCCGTGTATTAAATGTATCGATGTAGCCGCACTACGAGGAGTTAAAAGGATGCCACAATAAACCAGGTGCAATATCGAGAGCTGGCCTTGCTATGGAGAGGCAGGGAAAGTCTCTTGGCGCGGGAGGATGGTGTGGCCCGCTTCCACCCCAGGCAAGAGCGGATAAGTCGGTGCCAGCCCTGTCCCTTGCGCAGGCTTAGCCGTCCGCCCCCGGGGGCTACTCTGTCATTCGGAAGCCCTTCTGCCACGCCCATGGCACCTCGCTGCCCGGACTGGGGAATGACAGGAGGGAGCGGGTATAGGCAAATGCTTCGGCAAGGGGGTCCCCTCCAGATGTATTTGAACCCGTGAGTCTCTCTTGGTGGGAACTGTAGTCCCCCAACACTTTAAGGGTGCGCCCTGTTGGCGAAGATCAACCGGTGTCTCTCCATCCACCCCATCCTTTCCGCTTTGCTAGGGGAGACGTCCTGCTTGGAGCCTCATAAGTGAGAGGCAGGATTAGTCCACGAGGCTCGGCCTTCCTGGGGGGGGGGTGAATTCACCTGCATGACACCCCCCCCATTCCCCCTTTCCGTGTTAGCTAATCTTAAACCAGAGTAATCTCGCATGACACCGAACAGAGGTTGAGAAAGGCGACCGGAGGGGAGGAACCCGCATTACAGCGTCGCCCTAGAACAGTGTTTCTCAACCTTGACCATTTTAAGGCGTGTGGACTTCAACTCCCAGAATTCCACAGCCAGCAATGCTGGCTGTGGAATTCTGGGAGTCGAAGTCCACATGCCTTAAAATGGTCAAGGTTGAGAAACACTGCCCTAGAAGCCCACTGGCTTTGGCGAGCAGTGGCCGAGTCCTAATCCTCGAAGCCGCTGAGCCAAAGCCCGCAGCGACTACTTCGCTTAGCCAAACGAGAGGGTGTGATTTGTCGCAGCTGCTGGTGCGGATGCAGCCCCTCGGGAGCCAAAGGTTTTTCCTTCCAGCCCCTTCGGCAGCCGTCCACTGTAATTCCTTTGTCCCGGGCAAGGAGAGGGTGCCAAGCTGCGCAGAGAGGTCCATTGTGGCTACAGGGCCGGGAAAGGAACAGCCGGGAAGGGCCTGAGAAGCGGCATTGGTAGAATTGCTATTTGGAACAAAGGGACGAGATTGACGATTGATTGACGGCCTGCGCTGTCCCCACGCTGGGCTTCGACGGGCAAACGATGGGCAGTTATGTCCTGTCCCCCCCTTTAAGCCTGCAGGCCGAGAGCGAGATAGGGCGGAGGGACCCAGTTCAATGCAGAAGTTGCCTTGATTAGGATTTGAAAGGGAAAAGATGCTGAAGGGCAAAGAGAAGAGATGGGGAGGCTTTGGGAACAAACACATCTTACCTACCTATTCTGCCTCTCTCTCCAATCCTCTGACTGACCTCATACATTTCCAGAAGGGTGGAAAAAGGTTCGTGCACGCACTACAGCCATGGAGACCCTCTAAGATTGAGCCTCAGCTCTACACACAAGGAGCAAGAACTCTCATCATTCCCACATGGCCTTAAGGTCTCCATGTAGCATTGCTCCACTCCTGCCATTGGGAGACACAAATCAAATGAGCACAGGCAAGAACAGACCAGCCGGTTCAGAAGGAGATGGGTAAGGCGTCTGCAGCCATTAGCCTGGATCTGATGACCGAGTTTTTTTTTCAGCTCTACCAAAATGTCTGGAATGCCTATCAGTAACTCAATACTGTGAGCCACTTTGGTGTAGTGGTTAAGGCAGTGTTTCTCAACCTTGACAATTTTAAGGCATGTGGACTTCAACTCCCAGAATTCCACAGCCAGCATTGCTGGCTGTGGAATTCTGGGAGTTGAAGTCCACATGCCTTAAAATTGTCAAGGTTGAGAAACACTGGGTTAAGGCATCAGGTTAGAAACCTGGAGACTTTGCTCCTGGTTAGACATGAAGCCAGCTGGTTGATCTTACGCTGGCCACTTTCCCTAGGCTCTAACGAGGAGACAATGGCAAGCCACTTCTGAAAACCTTACCAAGAAAACTGCAGGGATTTGTCCAGGCAGTCTCCAAGAAGCAGACAAGGTGGAACAGAAAAGAAAAATGAATATAGGCACTGTTCCCCCTTTTAAATTGGGAGCTAAATTACATTTGAATGAATTATGGAGATGGCACGATATATTGTAGCATGTCCACTGCAGGTGATAATCTTTTTCGGTAATGGTGGTGGGCTAACCAATTTCTTAAGTATACCTATTCTTACATTTTGCTCCCACTCTTCATATAAAAACCTGCTGCAGCACAATAAACACAAGTAGCTGCAATGATCAAGCAGTGCAATTTAAAAGATATAGGGATAGTTTGTCTATCACCTGACCTGCCATCTATTGATTTTGCCTTCAGGCTCGTGGGCTTGATCTGCATCTGCAATGGAATGAGACTGTACAACATACCACTACAGTATACTAATTTGGGGGCATATTACAATTGAATACCCCCTTTCCCAAGAAAATAGAAAAATTTTCAGGATGGGACCATGCAGCAGTTTCCACGTTGTCTTTCCGTTTGCATGAGGTAATTTCTTTTAACTACTCAAGCTGGTAATTTCCAAAAGTGTTTCATTGCAGCTCTGAATCAGTACCCATAATTCCAGTAGTCAGAGTTGAAGACACAGCTGGAGAAGTGCAGACACTAAGAAAAAAAGGTATAATGCTTCAAACCTAGATTAACATTTGAGTGGAGATGTTATACAACCCCACATAGGGTCATGGAATCTGGAAATAGTAGCTGTTCCAGGTCCCTTAATTCTGAAAGATTGCATAGTTGCAACTTCTCTGAATGGATAAATAAATAAAATTAAATGAATAAATAAATAAATATAATAAAAAAAATCTCTGAAAAAATAAAGCCCAAGCAAAAGAAAGAAGAAAGTACCGGTCTATACGAACAAAGTGACCATGGAATAATGAAATAATTAATATTTAATAATCCCATGTGGTTGCCACTACTGGGAAAAGTGCATTACAAATTAAGTTCAACTCCACTACCATATGGATCTGGAAGGCTCCACAAATTATAAACATTTATATTAAAATGTTAAGGCAGCCCAGTTCCCTTGAGATGCATTGAATCTGTGATCCCTTTGGAGAAGATGGCCTGAAAGGACCCCCTTGGGATGCCAGTTAACTGTAGAAGTTACAAATCCTTGAGATCCTTAAATATTCAGGGAAAAGAGAAAGTTTCTTCACTGATGAGTAGCTCATTCTGTGACTAGATGGCACACAGGCAACCAACTGTGGAACACCTATAGGGCACCAGATTTCAATGAATTAGTTTGTGTAGAAACATCTCTCGGTCCTCATTGATCTGTTTTTGATTTATTGATCTGTAATAATTAGAACATAGAATCAGATCAAAAGCCCCTCTGGCCCAGTTCTTCTTTTCCCAATCCTTATAATCATAGCATCCTGCCATTCAGGTTCTGAAAGAGTTGCTTTTCAGAGCCCACCAGCTCTTTTTGCAGGAATGTTTTCAAGCTATACCCAGCTTTTGCTGGAGGAGATTATAAAGCAAATATCTAGGGTAGAAACCTAGACATTGGAGGACCATGAGTTCTAATCTTGTTTTAGGCAGTCAGCTGGCTGACATGGGCCAGTCACTTTCTCTCAACCCTAGGAAGAAGGCAATGTCAAACCTATTCTGAAGTCTTGCCAAAAATAATGCAGGAACCTGTCTGGGCAATCATAAGAGTCAAAACTGACTCAAAGATGCACATGCACACAATCGGTATCAGGAGCAGTGGTTTCCACAGTGGTCTCAGTGGAGATTCAAGTTCAAGTTCAGATCAAAATTCAGTTCAAAACTATAAAGCCATGAAATTCCCAGCCTCTGCTTCCTTTTGGTCAACTCTTGGAGCTGAGCAAGACAAGAGAAGAAGTAACTCTACTGCTGGCAGTTTTGCCTTCCCATTTCCGCTCTCTCTTTACATCTGGCTTGACATTTTACAATCGATCTTTAAAATATCTGGAAAAGGAGGGGCTGGAAGAGAAGGAAGATCGTTGACACAGCAAATCAATTTTGTAAAAGATAGGGCCAAGGAGTAGCAAAGTTGTAGTTAAAATTCAAAGATTGAGGAAACACTAATCCACTGGACCATAATAGAAGACACACCCTCCAGGAAAGGAGAAAAATGCCATAATTAGATTGCTTTTTTCATGAGCAGGAGGAAAAGCAACAGAGGCTTTAATCACAAAGGAGAACCCCTTGTAATAGCCCGCTGAGAACTGATTGGCAATCAGCAAATACACGGAGTAGCCTGAATGCACGCAGAGCAACATTTTGTAGATGCCCTCTGTGGAACCAGGAATGATCACCTCCTCCCACCATCCATGAACAATATGGTAGCAGTAGCAAGAATTCGTGATCTTGTGTCCCACGTCTTAAGGAAAGCCTAGAATACCTTTACTGCCACAAGGCTGCAATGCTAAGGCCAGCTGCCTTTCAATCCAGCTCCGTGGTTTCCTTAGCAACTCATAGATAGATGCTAGATGATGGAGCAGCAGCAGCAACTCGGATTTTTCTTGGCATGCAAATCCCTGGCGCTGCTCATTGAAAGGGCAGCTCTTTCCTGATTCCATCAACCCAGACATTGGCGATACAATATATTGTATTCTCCAGGCAGAGCACAAAGAAAGAGGATGGGAGCGGTACCTTTGGCAACATCCCCATCTATTGGCTGGTGTAATAACT